ATGTCTACATGCCTAAATGCACTGAGTTGCCGCCATGTGATTGGCTGCTTAGAAATTAAGTGTTAACGAGCAGTTGGACAGGTGTACCTTATAAAGTGGCCGGTGAGTGTATAAGTCAAATAAAATAAGCAAAGAATCTATTTTTATTTAAAAAAAAATGTTCTTATAGGTCTGAATTTTCTTTTTTTTATATATATATATATATATATATAGAAAAAAACAAAAGCAAGTAGGGGATTCCAAGGAGCTATCAGGTGATTAAAGGATGTTTAATCCACAAGGCTGTCATGTACTTTTCGGAGTAGGTTTACTTCTTATTTTTACTTAATATTCTTGTAAAGTATTGTTACTCCTACTTGAGTAAAATTTCAGATTACTTTGTCCTTTGAGTAATTTGAACTACTCCAAAATAAGGTAAACATACAGTAAACAGTAGATATTAACAGTATACAACATATATACAGTTGTCGTTGTAAGGATTGGTGTTATGTTGAAAAAAAATGGCAAATTTCTCCTGCATGAATTTCTTTTTGTATAATCATGACATTTATTTATATTCTTTAGGCATTTGAGTCTTTAAAATGCCACAACTTTCAATTTAGTCTGTTTGCCAGCATAATTTATAACCATTAAATCTGATGTTATTATCCAACAGCTACTCAATACTCAAGTAGCCTTTCTACAAAATATTTTTTTGTTTTACTTCAGTAGTTGTTTGGATGACAACTTTTTCCTTTTACTTGAGTTTAAAAAAAAAATGTTAAAGTAGTATTATTCAGTACAGTTTTTGGGTACTCGACCCACCTCTGTTTATCTTTATGTTTTTATTTTCCTATGAGCTTCCATGAATCCTAATCAATGAATCATATTCCTAAATATATATTAAACCACATAAATTCCAGTTTTAAAATGATTTTGGTTTTTGCACAAAAAAATAAACAATGATTCGGTTTATTTCTTATTTTTGCCACAATGCTGTTAAAAAGTAGATTTGTTTTAATCCTTTTATTTTGAAATAAAAGAAACAAAACATGTATATTCAAAATGAGGATAAATGGCACAAAGATGCTAAAGAGAAATAAATAAGTCTAAAAAAATCATATTGCAGACTTTAAGAAAAATATTACTACATATTCCTACACAATATATAAAAAGGGGCAAGTATAATGCAACTGCCTTCAACACAGTGAAGATTTAGCTAAATGAATATCAAATAATGGAACCCAGCTGGGTCTCAATCGACCCAAATTGTTTGAGACCTTTGAGGCATACTGTACTTTATGTTGGTATGCTGTGCGCATCTTCCAGGTTATGTACGCTTCAGGAAGGATTATCCAGAGCTCTTTGAGAACCTCACTCCTGAAGCAGTCCGCAGTACCATAGAGGCTGGATACCCAGTAGTTCTGCCAATCAGAGACAAATATGGCCGTGTGGTCCTGCTCTTCAACATTGAAGGCTGGGACCTGGAGGAGATCACATTTGATGAGGTGGATGCTGACACACCTTTTTTCTCTTAATAGTGACCTTGAAGATCTTAGAGGTCATGCAACTGAATAAAATGTGTCTCTACATGTGAAACAGGTGCTGAGAGCATACTGTGTTATCCTGGAGAAGCTGCTTGAAAACGAAGAGACTCAGATCAATGGCTTTGTCCTGATAGAGAACTTTAAAGGCTTTACTATGCAGCATGCCTCAGGAATAAAGACCGCAGAGCTCAAAAAGATGGTGGACATGCTACAGGTCAGACCAAATGAACTGATAATACCAAAAGTGTTTCTTTATTATGCTTCTCTGAGACATCTGCCTGTTTTTCAATAGTGATCATTTCTTTAAAACTACTTAATTCTGCATTTATCTTATGCCCTCTGGCGGACGATGGCGGTATTACAAATAATAAGTAGTTAAAATTGACAGCAAATATTATATGTGCTCAAAACATGTGTGCATCAATTAGGAAGCTGTATTTGCTTTTTACTTGACTTCTGTATTTGATTTTTTTCCCTAAATTTTATAAATGTTTTACTTCATTTTCATTAGTATATACAGGCAGAAATAGATTTTGATAATAAGTTGTTGTACATTTTAACCCTCAGTTTCCCATATGTAATATTATCCATATTTGGATGGAATATAAAAAAGAAAAACAGAAATCAGAAGCTTAATTTAGACAGGCTCTAAATGGTTAGAATCACCTTGCAGTTTGACCCCCATCCTGTGCTGTGTCATGCATTTCTGTGCAGGACTCCTTTCCTGCCCGTTTCAAGGCGGTCCATGTTATTCACCAGCCCTGGTATTTCACCACCACCTACAATGTGGTTAAACCCTTCATGAAGGCCAAACTGTTGGAACGGGTACGAATTACCACACACAAAGCTGCTCCCTGTTTTTTCCAGTTGGTTTATTCAATTCCTCTCATTGAGCTCTAATAGTCCCCCTGTTGCTCCACAGGTCTTCGTTCACGGGGAAGAGCTGGACGGCTACTTTAAAGAATTTGATGCAAGCATTCTGCCTTCAGATTTCGATGGAAAAGCCCCAGTGGCTGACTGCCAAGCCATTGCCACCCAGCTTTTTGGCTCTGAAGACACTGCGCTCTGAAGGAACATATATTCATACCTGGAAAAGGAACTATGTGGAATATGTTGAAGTTAGATTTGTTTTTGTTTTTTCCAAATTCAGACGTATAAGAGCATGAAAGAAGGGGGCATTCTGCAGATAAGAATGAGATAATAATAGTGGGGGAAATTATGTGTAGATATAAATAAGAATAAGTGTTAGCTTTTTTGTACTCCGTGATACCCTTACAATTCGTTGCTGAGGAAGGAAAATATATTTGGGGGAATTATGACTCAGTCAACATTTCGTATTAACTGGTTGGATGCTGTCTGCCTAAAAACTAACCATGGTGAATACAGATGTTGCTGTCTCTCTGATTGCTGTGCCTTACACTTTTCAGTTTGACTTTATGAACAGTATGCATAGTATAAAGGGGGATGGATCTGCCTTAGATCAATGATTCAAGATTATTGTGGTGCCTTTGGAAATTTCCATTTGTCAGCAGCCTTTTTTCATTTGATCAAATGTGATGCATGATTAAAATGCCCTCTGTTTTATCTAATGTCCTCTGTTTGCTTCATTCACCTAAACAAGGATTTGTTAGAATTGATGCGCATGTGTCTGTAGTTCTGTTAAAGATCTTTTTTATCCTTTGTTTGTATTTCATTAACTTGAAATAGCAATAAACCCAATTTAAAGCAAAAGCATCCTTATTTAGTTTATCATTTCCAATCCACGTTCCTTCCTCTGCTATCACATCGGGATAAACATAGAGCCGCTTCCACTCTGTGTATAAACCATGGCCTCATGGTTTTTTCAGAGACTGTCTGTTGTTCAAGGCAGTGGAGCAAAGCTGAAGGTGAATGAGTTCAGGGTCCAGGAATTCAAAATCACATTCCTGAGCTTCTTTTAACACTCTGAAGAAACTTAATAAGTCTGAACACTTCTAAGGAGGGTAATGTTGCTTTACTAACACTGTCTTAAGTTATTTTACTCCGTGATTAACCAATCTAGTATATTTATCAGTCAATCAATCAACTTATAAACCTTTATCATGTAGACAGTGATCACTTTTCTATATTTAAAAGATGAGTGAATATCATTTCTAAGGACAATTATTTAGTCTTAAATTAGATAAAATCTAAGATTACAAGAAAAATCTTAATGACTACTGGTGATGATTTATACATAAAAATCTGTCTTTATTCAGCTGTATATGTGTTTCGATTTGTGACCCTTTATGATACATACACCGGGTCCAGGGTTCAACCAACTAGATACTGACCTTTTAAAGCCTGGACCATGAGATCATTTACTGATTATTCTGTTTTTTTATAGTCAAATCAGAGTTGACATAAAACTTTCTTACAAATTAGATAAAAAATGTTGAAGAAGTCACATATTTGCAACAATTTTGATACACAAGGCATTTCTGTACAATCTTTTATGTCAAATACATGTGTCTGATTGTATAAATCAGTTTTCAAGAACAAAGATATCACACTGATGATGTATGTATCAAATGTACGGTATGTATCAAATATGATACAGGATGATGGTCTAATGTGTTAGCATTGCTAACAGCAGCTATGCTACTGCATAGTAGGCAAACCATTCATAGGTTTGAAAACCTCAAACTGCAGAGGCAAACCTTTCAAAAAAAAATCCTTCAATAGGAGGTATTTGAATAGTCCATGCAAATACCAGTTGAGCCTGACGATGCACACTTTGAAGCAGGCAAATTATCTAGTAAGCATTCAATGATAAACTGTTTGTGTCCAAACCATTCTATTTTCTTTTGAAGGTGAATTAAACAGATTTAATTAGGTGCACTAACAGAACAATAATCTCAAAAGCACTCATGTGCATTTTAAATGTCCATAGGAGAGACGTGCCAATATGTGTTATGCTAATTAAGGCGTCTGGGATGGGAAATAAGAAAAATAGCTCCACCAATCCTGTCAACAAGAGCCTGAAATGTTTAGTCATCATCATTAGAGAAACCTCTTGTTGATGGCTATAAAAGGGTTTAAATTTAGTTTGTTAGGGGACATTTAACCAAAGGATAGTTGGAGGTGTAACTTGGAACAAAAAGGAAGTAAATCTATTGTCAATCTGTGTAATAGTGCTTCTTATAAAAAATAAAATACATCACCATCAGATTATTTTTTTCTTTAAAGGGCTCCACATTTGGAAGAATAATGTATATTTGGGGCTGAGCTGCAGCCATGAAAGCATGTTAAGCGTCATCTATCCTATTTAAGTGCAATTGGTGTAGATAAAAAAAAATAAAAATAAAAACTTGCCGCAATTATCCAGAGATGAGTAGTAATTTATACAATCTACTTGAGTAACTTTTAGAGACCAGAGTACTTTTTGGAGTAGTTGTTCTCTTTTCTTTTGTGATATTCTTTTGAGGGTATTGCTACTTTTGAGTATATAATCTGTTTACTCTAGCTTTTCTGAGATTAGAGAAAAAATGTGATAAACTGTAGATAGTTAACTGGAAATTCTTTATAACTTCCTGACATTTGAATTATCAAAAGTGATTGTGTGCGTTTATGTAGCAGTTACTGTGGAAAGTTTCTTCTACACAAATTCGTTATTTTGTAATTCTGTTATTTGCAACTTTTTTCTGTTTAATTTCTTTGTAATTCCAGGATTTGTGCATAACTTACTGATTTCATCATTTTAACAATTAAATCAGATGCTTGGAGTAAATAGTACTCGAGTTTCAATTTTACAAAATATTTTTTACTCTTGCTTGAGTAATTTCTTGGATGATTTCATCATTTACTTGAGTAGAAAATATTTTTTTAAAGTAGTATTACTGTTGAGTAAAGCATTTTAGGGTACTTTACCCACCTCTGGTTAAATCAAAGCCGCATCATACTTGGATATTTTTTTTAAGGATGTAAGTTTATTTTTACCGTTAACAAGAATGTTAAAATAAAATGAGATACTAAATGAAAGGCGAAGCTTTTTTTCTTCATTTGAGAAAATAATTTATTTAATAACACAGTAACCATGTATCCTCACACAATTAATTCAAACACGCACACACCACTGGTTTCCCTTAAAAAAAAAAAAGAAAACAGAATACCCAGTGTTTGGTATTAGAGTACATCATGTTGTGTGACTGTGCAGGTCCCTTCAAGCTGTAACCACTCTTAAATCATAAAAAAAAAAAAAAAAAAAAAAAAAGTAAACAAAATTAAAGCTGTAAAATGTTACCTGTACGCTCCAAAGTATACATTTTGGGCTGAAACCAGACTAGATTTTATTTCTAGAAACCGAACAATAAGAAACCATCTTTCCAGCATGGCGCATCTTTATGTTTTCATAGAATTATATCTAAACCAGCTGAAGATCATTTGTTTCCAAGCAAGTAAATATGAGCAAAAAATCCTGATGCCTAAAGCACTTTTAGGATAAATACATAGGATCACATTCTTATACCAGAACAGTAAAACAACTTTTTAGATTCTTCAACTGAGAGAAGAATCTCAATGTGCACAAATGGTTTGGTCTAATATATATATCCCCCTCTTTTTAAATCTGTTAAAAAAAATAGGTTATTCCCCTGATTGGTTTCCATTTCTGGTCCCTTAAAGAAAATAAAAAATAAAAAAAAAATAAGTCCGACATATATCCCACTTGTCAAAACTTTGATTGTTGCTGATCAGAGGTGTTCAAATGAGACAGTATTCTCCCATATACCCAAAATGCACTCTGCTGCATTTGCACAAGCAAATTATACACACAAAAAAGACAAAAAGAGAAGTACAAAACAAGTTCAAATGATACACACAAAATGTTCAGAATAAATCCAAGCCTGCATTTTTCCACAAAATCAGAGAGAGGCAAAGTCTTACAAACAGCTGTTAGTGCAGAAATGTGTCTATTGCTGGTGTCATCGATGATCCTTCGGAAAAATCTAAAGAACCCCGAACCACGTCGGATTAATAAGGAACGACAGCCGTGGACGAGTGAAACTATGCAACAAGACTGTGGGTGGATGAGAAGACGACTGCTATGAAAGACTGGGAGTTGTAGTAAAATCTCCCTGACAGCAGATGGCAACAGTGCCATTAGAGGCAAAGAGTGAGCACTGGGACAGTGCACACTTTAGAAAGAGTAACAATACTGTGTGTTTGTACTGAGCTGGCTTGATTCTGATCAAGCCAGCTCAGTATTCCCCTCAGTAAATTAAACAAGTGAGGAGATTACATTAAAAAACAAACAAAACAAAAAAAACAACACAGGGATTGTGTTCAGTGTTGGCAGAAGCCCTGAGTTAAATGAGAGAATGTCAGGTCCAATTCTCATAGTGATGAGATTAATACCTGGTTCTCATAGTATCTGTTCTGGAAAGACTTCCTGGAGATGTGTGAAGCTTACAGGTGATCTTTAAGCTTATCAACAGCAGATTTGAGTCAAGATTATTAAAGCAATAATAATAAAAACTAAACTAAGGCCACTATGTCTACAGTCAATAAAAATGTTACAGGCTCAAGATACAAAAATCCTTTTATAAGTTAAAATAAGTTACTCTAGCTGCTCCATTAGTTTCCATGAGTAAATACAACTACGTTTGGCATGGATCGCTTTGGATTCTTACGGCACAAACAAATACTACCAACCAGGTATTAAAAGAGGAACACTGGCTTATGCAGCCCAACAAAAGGCACTGTTGTCAATTCCTTCATCATTTCCAACCACCCATGTGTCTCATCATCACAGTGCTCAGCAGCAGCTTTTCAACCACAGCTTTCTTGTCTGGATAGAAGCTCCTTAAGCCCTTGGAACACGGTTTGTTCTGACAGGTCCACGAGTCTCAGCTTTACAGTTTGATTTTGACACCATGCTGCGGTGACACCAAAACGTTATAACACTCGGTGGAAAAACGTAAATACAAGAAGCAGTTAAAATCATCGGCTGACAGAAAAAAAATAAATACTCCAAATAAAGGAAAGCCATTTTCCTTCTAGCATGCAGCATCCTCCATCTAAATATACATACAGGACAATTACAGGTATCTGACAAACAAATTCACGATGATAAAGGTTTGGTTCAGCTTTGGTCTCTTCAGCCCTCCTACTCACCAAACCTCACAGCTCACAGAAGAAAATAAACCTTCAGCCCTTTTGATTCACCCTTCAACAGCATTGCATTGTTTGTTTTTTCATTTCTACATTGGTGTTTTGATGTTTGCTCCAAATGAGTAGGGCCGAGCCTGAGTGGGAGGGGTTTGGTCTTAATCGGGGGAATTTATCAGACTGCTTATCTGAACCTACAGCTGATCAAAGGTAGAAGAAAGTAAGAGGGCTCAAAGACAGTTGGGGGAACAACTGATTCATCTAACATTTTGTTATCATCCCTGCTCCTTTTAAATCTCCGTATGTTAAACGGACAGCTAAATAGTTACTAATCGCAATACTCGCGCTTCTGCTAGCAAGCGAACGTAAAACAGTGTGGCATAAGGGGATTAAAGTGCACTGAATCAAAGTGGTAGCTTGTGGGAATGTGGGTTATCAGCAATATCTGGTTAGCTCCCAGGCCTGTTGGCTCTGAAAACGCAAAAGTCACATTTCTAAACAACAAACGTAGGCACCAGGAGGATGTTATGAGATGCAAATAATGCAGGAGAACCGTAGGGTAATACTTTTTCTACAGTACGACACAGCAGCAGTTCATCCAAAAGGAGGATTTGCTAAACAGGGACCACAGGTCCTGTTGTGGGGGACACATACACACACAGATGTACTCTCAACATGTCATAGACATACGTACAGACGTACTACAAATACAGCAGACTAGGCTCTATGGGCTTGGCGGTGATAAGCAGTGAGCGTCTTATAGGTGCAGTAAACAGGCACCGACAGTCGCTCTGACCTCGCCTTCTGTGACGCCTTGTGTGCTTCTTTCTCTGGTAAAAAGTCATACTGCCATTTCCTTCCCCATCTAAAATTAGCTTTATTTCATTTTGGGTCGTATTTGGTCAGTTCATCCATTAACCGAGCGCCGCTGCGTTTTAGATGACCGAATGTTCCAGCTCTGAGGTGAAGGCAGTTAATTTCTACTCTGCAGTCCACACCCTGTAAGGTGATGGGATCGGGGACAGGGGTTTACAAATGGGGCTAAAAGGCATGTGTGTGTTTTGGAAGTGGTGATTAGCACCAGAGGAGAAGGCAGAGAACAAGAGCAGTTTAAAGTGTCTCCTCGACGCCATGTTGGAACAGCGGTGCTGGAAAGTGTGAGATGTAAAAATGAGGAGAAGGAAAGAGGGAAGATACGGAGGTTTAGGCTTTCGCCTCGAAGCAGGAGCTCCCGGTGAGGTGGGCACTTTGGCAGGGCGGTTTCTGTTTCTCCCACTGGCACATGGCGTTGGCGTAACCCACAATTACTTTGTCCATCCAGGTGAGGGGCTGAGGGAAGAGGACATCCCCTTCGAAGAAGCCCAGGTGGCCTCCGTGAAGCGTCAGGGCGAAGATCACATTAGGTTTCTTTGCTGGTGGACGAAGCGGAACAAGGAGAATAACACAGATTATCATCTAGAACAACCACTGCAGTATTTTCCTTCTGGCCATTTTTTGAAAATCAGGTAGCTCAAACAGATTGGCCTTGACTAACAGGTCCCACAGGCTGTCTGGTTCAACCCATGGATTATTTGGTTGCCTCAGTACAGCATTAACTGCTTGGACACACCCATTCTGTTCCATATTTTATAAAACAAAAGGTCAGTGTTGTTTTCCTTCATGCTGGTTGTGCCGAGGTATGTTGATTTTTTTAAAGCACAGTGTTTTACATAATTCCACAGAGTTTATTGGGAGACATTCGGCAGCAAATAAAACGATTTGACTATGCAAATTAACAAACTGATATTTTAAAGCAGATATGTCTTTTTTTTTCTCCAGCTTTTTCTTTGTCAAACTCATAGCTCACAATTATACTTGCCTCCTTGACTTAAATCAAGAATTACAAAATTACCCCAGGTATGTAGGCAGGCTAAGGCAAAGCAGAAAGCTGCTGAATAACCCTGAAGAATGATGAGGTTACATCTGGAATCATGAACTCAGGCATTAAACAATATTTTAAACAAGACAAAACAAATGAAAGTAGAGTCCATGTCTTTGAGTTCATGAAATTATTTTTTATACAGTGATTCATCAAGCCAGCAAGAGAAACCTGATTTTTAAGGGCAATAGCTCCACCTAACAAACCGGCATCATATGGAGGGATTTAAAATGACTGCTTGTAACAAAAACTGTAATTGAAAACAAACATCCAGTTTCAGCATCACTGCTTGGCAACAGCACAATTATTACATTTTATAGAAGTGGAGAAATTGTAAACAAAGATAAAGGTCACCTTTGTAATTAAATAAGACAGATAATATATGTGGTTTATCATGCAGTAGCAGTAAATCTGAATTCACCAGGTTTATTCCTGCTATGCTCACAGTTTGACACAATTGATGCAGATATTGATGACAGGCTGCACTTTTGATTTCCCCCTAAGGGACCTGCCACAGATTGCTTGATCTGTTTTACTACAGGTCTGGTCTTTCTAATTTGACATATGATTAGAAAAAAGCCACCTCTACACTTTAACACAACCATTACTCTCTTCCCATTTGCTGCAGTAATGCATCAAATAGGAAATAAAAATATAGAAATACCAACCCGGTTGTAGGTCATTCTCCGCATCCTATGTGGGTTAGTGGGGTATCTGGAAAAGCGATTCAGATATGCTGGGCTTTCGCCACTCAACATGACAGATGCTGAGCGACCACGCACACAGAAGGGGGGGGGGGCGCTAGAGCCTTGACAGCGGCCCAGAAGGCACTACATGACAGCTGGGAACAACATGCTGTGCAGAACAGCTCACATTCGAAAAAAAACCCCAAAAAAACAAGAGCTGTGCATTTAGGCAATTTATTTGCACTAAATTCCCTTCATTACAAGCCCTTAGCTGAACAGGACACATTAAGTATTCCTTGGAGACTAATTAGAACCCTGTTTACTTCAACTGCTATCAAAGATTTTTAACCCCAGAGGATTGTGGCATCAACAGAGCAGTAGTATTTCTGTCCAACCTCTTCCTGGTAGCTCTGAGTCAGTCAGTTCCACATCCATGGTCAAAGGGCAGATTATCTCTTAGTCTGGGAGTTTGAAGAGCAACTGATCTCACAATGACAGCAGGAGTCTATGTCAGGACGCCTGCATAGGGAATATTCCTTATTCCTTTTCCAAAACAATCAAGCAGTCAGTAATGTTAAATATAGCACTGAACTGGTGGAAAGTACAGCCAGTCAGTCTTTACTTTAAGAATAACTTCAAACCAGAAAACATTACTCAGAATGTGTGCTACACCCTGCCCTACCAAGAAATGTAGAGCTGGAGGTTTTTCTCTAAGAAGGATTCATTAACAACATTCAGCCAAACAGGACAAACACACTGTGATTATTTAACACAGTTCAACTAAATTATGTCACGCTTTGTGACTTCTGTGGCGTTTACTATAGGACGGCTTCGGTTTACCCGTGAGAAAAACCCAAACAAGCACACAAGTCTACTATAAGAACACATAGCAGCCTTTCATTTGGATTTCTAAATGAAAATAATTGCCTAAACATAATGAACTGTAACATTAATTTTCCACATTGCCAGAGTCAGTCATACGAATGAGAACGACATATCTATTTCTATCTGCAATATATTCTGCAACTGTAGGCCAAGACTCGCATCTTAAATATATATAACAAAAACAATTAAAAATGATTAATTTTAAATCATAATATGACATGGCAACTTAACTAAGACCTTTTCAGTCATCAAAAGCTAACTTATTAATAAGGACTTGTGCAGGGCTTTGCAGTGTTTTAACTACACATCATTGGCAGAAATGTTTACTTTCTGCCATTACAAACACATCACATTGAATTTTGTATAGCCATTTTTGGTGACTGCATGTATTTGTGCTGTTTTGTGTGTTATCATGTACGCTTTTGCTTTCAATGTTTTTTATTTGGATCTTGAGTTTTAAACAAATAAAGTGTATGAATTTTAAACCCTGTAGATAAAGAAATGTCTCAGTCTAATGTTTGGAGGCATATTGGCTTTAACTCTCCTGTTAAATAGGGTTAAGGTGGACACAATCCAACAGAGACAGGTCAGTCAAGTTCTTCCCCATCAAAAACGCTCATCCATTTCTTAACGAACCTTGTTATTTTTTTACTCTGAACAATAAGTAATTGTTCAACTGTTTCATCAAAACTTGAAAGATGTATTGTAACTCTAGAGAACATTAATGGTAATCAATCAGCCTGTTTTATACTTCTTCATCCAGTGTTGTTCACCTCATTTGTCACACTTTATTGGATTCAGTGTCTTGGCCACAGATTATATGAGCAGTGAGTTAATTTCACTAATTGCACAGGTGGGATTCTATCATGATACTAGTCTGGAACCCATTCTTCCACAAATGACTTCAGAAGCAGCAAACACATTTGGCTTCTGGACTTCACATACTTTCATATGCTAAAGAGAGTGAACACTGGAATTCAATCGTTTGCACAGGTTCCAAAAAAAGTTCTATTCAACCTATTCATGAGAGGTTTGAAATATTTTAGTAGTTTGATTTAAATTAAACATTTTAAAAACTTTTGCTCAAAAAACCTGCTTAACTTGTGTCAAAAAATATTAGAATATCCGGTGGTTTCACCAGATCATCATCATTTCATATCAGAATAGTTTAGACATTTTGTAACAGACTTTGTGCAATATGCTGATTCACAGCAAAGTTAGGAGCAGTCTTTCAACATATTTGCTCAAAGCGGGCCAGGAGTAAATGGGTTCAGACGATTGCATCATTTTAAGACACACCTGGGTCAAACAAAAAACATGCAATTAAATATAATTATGGTTAAAAAAAACTAAGAATTTATTTTTTTCTTAAATCATCCTAATTCATGAAATTAGCTAAATTGCATGATTCTCTATGGTTTTGGGTAAAAAATGCTGGGTGATAAATACCTGCTAACGTGCGAGGGATAGCAAGCAATGAGTCATGAACCAGAGGGTCGTCTGCAGAGTTTACCAGGAGCAGTGGCACATCCACCTGCAGGTTAGAGCACAGATTTCTAAGCATGAAACACAAATATGAAAACAGAAAGAGGAGAAAATAACACAAGATTGCTGGAGCTCTTCTTACATTGTGGATATAATGTACACAGCTCTCCTTCTCATAGTACTCTTTGAGAGAGCTGTAGCCATGAAATTTTCTGTTGAAATGTGAAAAGAAAAATACACCATTACACACCAATCAGCATCACATATTTCTTGCATGGGAATCAACAGGTCCTGAACAGTTTTACGTACCTCATGATGTTGTCGTCGATCTGCATGAGGGACGTTGCTGTGTACAGCCGGCTGAGATCTGCATCAAATTTTTTTGGTGAGCTTTCCCCAAAAAGACTGTGCCTGTTGCACACAAGTGGAAATGAGTTTGGATTTAAATCAGGTTAAATTATTTCTGATACAAGCAGCAACACTTCAATTGTCAATGACCTCCACAGAGAAACAAAACAAAACAAGGAATTAGCAGTTCAAACTACAGACGAGGTGGTAACGGAAGCATTGCTTCTACTGCAAAGTTTAACTTAAGTCTGTTATGAATTGCAGGTGCTATACCTGTGTGAGAGGATGATCTTCTTCATGTTATCTGCCATTAGGAAATTATAGAAGCGTCTGAACTGATCCCACTGTAGGAATGTTTCCTGAGCCCTAAAAGGTAGAGATTAATATGCAAGGTGTTAGCTTTGGAAAACACGCCCAATTCTTAAATTTAAATTTACAGAACAATAAAAGACATGGTTTGAAAGGAGCAATGGCATCAAAATGAAACACAGGAATAGATTTAAATAAAATAATCTTGGAGAACAATTTTCTTTTCTAAAGTCTTAACTTGTTAAGCTTAAGCCGGTAATACAGTGCAATTTTTTCAATGGTTGCAGGCAGCTACAACTCGCACTGTACAGCTCATGATGCATGTTCTCTCACTGTGCGGCACAACGCTCTGATGCGATCTACCTGCTCACACTGTACGTCTAAAAAACACTTAAGACTCAGCTCTGCAGTGAGATGGCACTACTCGGACTTGTATTCGAGTCATTTTGCTGCTTTTAACAAAAATAAAAACCAGACTCAACTTTCCTCAACTCAATTAATCTCTCAATCACCTTTGACACAAACATGTAATCGGTTTCTTTTTTTACATCAAATCATGTTTACATACAGTTCATGTAGATGATCTAACACACAGAGCTTTCCTTAACATGTATAAAAGATAAAAGATGAAAGGTAAAAAACCTAATGGTAGTTAAGGCTTATCAACATAGTTTAATTATTTGATCATTTTCAATACATGGATAATCTATATAATTATTCTAAGGTATGAATCATTTTAGTAAAAATACACACATCATCGAAGCTGTTTTCATAACATTAAAATGTAGGATTAACGTGGGGGTAAGACACAACCTTTACTGTCAATTTTTTAATCCATCTTATACCAAAATTTGATTCTCTCTCCTTCTATACATTTAATATATATACACACAACAGGTCTAATGACTCTCCAGCTTCTTTCATGATATTTTACGCTTAGAATATTTTAAAACAACTACCAACATTTTAGCTAACAAAGAGGAACATTGTATTTTTAGTTAAAAAGTATAAGAAAAAAAAAACAGATCCCTTAAGTCAGTATTCATGGTTATAAAACCTTCATCTTCCTAACTAACCACAGCCTAAAAATCCAATATGGCTGCTGCCTCTTTCAAACACAACAAAAGCTGGAGTAAAGCTCTACTTTCATTTCTTACCATAGTCTTTTACTTCGTATCAGATAAAATCTTTTTCTAATACTTTGTGCTGAAAACCCACGACTACTACTGAACATGGGAGTTCAACTAGGTTAAAGTGGGTGTGATGTCATTTTCCAGATCTCTGCGTCAGTAAGTAGCCACTAGCTTTGGTTCTTGGTTAAATCCACCCCTCTTTACCCTAGTCGTTGTTTACAACAAACAATGTAATTAAATGATTCAAACTTTTTCATTTCACTTTGTATTTTTCTTATGATTGGTTGTTAGATACCAGTGTATCACTAAATGGAACCCAGGTACCACCAGTGGTATCTGTGCCAGAGATTTAGGAACAGCTTGGATTTTGTAAACTAGAATGAGCTGACAGGAATTGGAAATGAAGTAGATTTTCCATGAAGCATTATTTTCCCCACACATTGGAAAATGTAAATCTTATAATAGTTAAGATGGTACAGGAAACTCAACAGAGAAACCCATCATCTTTGATTTATACTCTGAGTGCCTGAGCTAACAAAACTAATCTGCACTACAAGCAGCTGAAACTAAAGCATAAATTCTTCCGGTTCTGTGGTTATTAATTGGTCTGAATGGACAGCCACTAAAAGTTTCTCCAAATATAGAAGCATGTCAAAATAAACCTGCACCAGTGATGGCAAGACATTTGACAGACTGTAGCTAGCATTATATAACCACATGTGAATGCGGTTCAATCATTATTGCCTTATTCTGAGCCAAGAAATGTAGAAGTGCTGGTGTTAAAACATGTCTGATGATATAACTCCTCAAATAAGGAAATAAGGGGACTAAAACCCACCTGAGAGCACTGTAACCCTGGCAGACGCTCACGCAGCACAGCACTCGCTCCTGGTTGGCTCTGCTCTCGCCCAGGAATTTGCAAACGATGTTTCCACCCAGACTGAAGCCCACGACAATCAGCTGGGTTTTAGGGTAGGTCCTCTTAATGTAGCCAACCATTGATGCAAACTCCCAAGTGCACCCTGAAAAAAAGTAACAATAAAGTTACTGATCAATAAAAAATAACCCCACTTAAACAGTGAACCACAATATTTCCTGCTCAGCACTTCTTGCCACACTTACATTTCTATAAGATCTCTTTACCTTATTTTTATTTCTTTACTTGCAGAGATTCTTTTACTGCTTCACATATTGCAAAGATCTTTCAGGTGTATGTGTATGTGTGTGGCATATTACTAAATCAGAACCAATTTGTAATATTAGAAAGGACTAATATTGGCCATGCTCTGTTTTAGTTTTTCTGAATTTAATTACTTGGCCACAGAAATAACTCAACTAAAAAAGAAGCAAAAAAGGCCAAAAGCGGTGAGACTGGAGAAAAAATACATCTTTTTTTTCATGTTTTAGATATATGAATCCCTCTCAAAGTCTAACAGCATGAATAAGCAGAAATCAAGAAGCTCTTACCATAAGTAAACATGCGTGGAGAGGTAAGCTCGATGTTGGGAAGAGCGCCCAGATGGTTCAGCACAGCGCACCTGTAGCCCTCCTTCTGGGCATAATCTACAAAGGTCCGGATGTAATGCTTCTCGCTATGGTTACCGATACCAGGACATATCACCATGGTGATCTCATCTGTTGAATACAGGTAAACAGGTCCAAGAGAAACATGTGCAAGTGAGAGAAATGCAAGCAACGATAAGGGGGAAGAGTCATAAATGTAAACGAGCAAAGCAAAACTCTGCAGCCAGTCCAAATAAGGGATTGGGCTGTTGGTTGGTCAAATACACAGTTTATCAAAAAACATCTAGACTACAAGAAGAAGAAGATATTTTTTCAAATGTCTTAAAAGGTTATGAGAGATCAAAGGTGACGTGTTAGAGTCAGGGTTCACATAAACCCCTCAAAGAAAGGATTCATCATTAACAAGGTCCTCATGAATAAGCACCCAATGATATGTAACCTTAGGATCAATAACACTCAAAAAAGAATAACTGCCGCAAAAATCTATTTTGGATATGTAGGCTCTGGCAAAACATCACACGCCAAGATCGTCTCACTTATTTCTTCTTCTTAGACACAGCCTGTATGTTATTCACTAAATTATGCTGTAGCTTCCAGATTTTTTTTTTTTTTTAACGTATCTGTAAAATCTTTTGAAGGAAAGTCTTTGACCCAGCTGGGCAGACCCCTCTTGGCACCCTCTATCTATGTAATTAAGGAGGAACAACAAAATCGGGTAAACCTCAGGAAGATCAGTGCAGGAGCGCTCCTTCGTCCAGGATGGACAAACACTCAAAAGGTGTGGCATGTACTAGACAGAAGTAGCAGCAGTAGAATTACAGTTTCAACAGATATGATTACAGTTTATAAACATGAGCTTTTGTCTTTCATTATGTGCCACTATCAGCTAAGTAAAAAATAAAAAATAATCAAGAAAAAGTAGGTGATTGATTAGAACACAACCAGTGATTTCTGTTAATTTATAGTCAAACATTGCTGGTGCAGGAAAAAGGGTGCGGACCCAAGATAAAAATAAAGTGGAATCTGAGTAAAGTGTTTTCTATTAACTGAGGTTTCTTAATAATAAAGCAGAGAAAGGTCAAATAGGAGCTGCTAAAGCTGGACCTCAGGAGAACCATTCACTCTTTCCATCTGATCAGTGTGAATGAGCTGAGCCAGCTCAATATGAAGAGCGGTACAAACTCTGAGGATCGCCTCTGAACCGCAGCTACAAGGGTTGGTTTAAGATTATTATTGCTATTTATTACATCCAAAGGTTCCCAGTGTATTACCAATGCTTTGGTTGTTAAAAGGGTGGGTACAGCAATCAAATGACAAGATCATTACTGCGCTTTACAATCTAATTATCAGTGTTGAAAGAAAATTATGGAGCATGTACAATTATCAGAGAAAAATCACCAAAGGTTCAGGAGATCACCTAATTTTTCTTTCTAATTATTCGTGAAAAGCCTAAGAATACTAGTTAATTTAATCAGATGTTGATAAAATGCATCACCTCCTGTTTGATGGTCCCCCAGTGGCTCAAAGAGGTCAAAGGTTGCGGTGGCTCCATCATGCATGGGTAAATACTTCCTGATTCCACAGGGGTGAGGCGAGCTTACCCGACCCAGTTTACCATACAGCGCTGTTTGGAGGTGGCCGCTCTTACCCCACAGTAATGGCGGAACGTACCTGGAAAATAAACCCTGCTTAGTCTGATATGGACATACGAGTCTCCCAACAGCTGGTAGCAATAAAACATCATACATAGAGTCATCTTTCCCCCTTTAGTAGAGTCTTAAAGACAGCCATGGAAACCAATCATCCATGTTTCATGTTAGTCTGTTGCTATGTTATGCGAGGTTGTGCTTGGTATGTAAGCTGGAAAAAAAAAACACTGATGCCGCTGCAGGTGTAACAGTTGGACTGAAAGGCTTATGTAATACTTCTTTCAGCATTTCCTGCTTTACCACCAATCACCTTATTGGAACTTTAAAAGTAAACTTGTACCTAAACCGTACAATAAATAAATTAGGCAGATAGGCATGGACTCTAGCTGTAGTAGATGTCTATCATCTTCTCTGACCCTTTCTGGGTGAAATTAATTTGCTTTGATCATTTGCTTGATAATAAAATAAATTATGTGTTATATGATTTTGTAATGTGGAAGATCTACCTATATCAAGATCCAAGACTAGAGTCTCCAATGTTAATAGCCAACTTATCTACATCTGGAAACAAAAAGTGCAGGTGATTCATTAACTGAGAGTGTTTTGTGCTCATTAAATTGGTCATCATAGCAGAAAATGTCCATGATGAACAGAGCAGAGAGGAATTGGCCATCTGAGAGGCATAGAGCATCACAGTGCAGGTAAAGCGTGTGCTGCTCTCAGGTTAAAATGACAACAGCACATCCCACATAACTCAGGTACAGCAGGCAGGTGCACCGTGTGGAGGGTTCGGTCAGATCAGCAGTTACACAAGCCTTTTCACCTTGTTCTTGTTCATCTCCGACTGTCACAATAACCAGACCGAGAAAAGATATTGCATAAGAGGACTGTCAAAAACAGCACCACTCCCGTCTGGTGATAATGTGATTACTGACACCATGCACTGCAGCTGTAGACAAAGATTATCTTCACTTTCTGGAAGGTTCTTAGCCAGACTACGTACTGACTACCTTATTTGTCCTCATGTGGACAGGGAGATGTAAAGGATTAGTAGAGATTACTCTGTTTCCAATCTGAAAAAAATCAATGAAACAGTGTCGAGATACTAATATAAACCATTTTTTATTGAAACTATTTTAATCAACCGCTATAGTTGTGTTTTTGTCAAAAAGACCTTGGGAGGAACACACTGACCTAGCCGGTTCTGCTGAGTGCATCTTCTAGAATTGTCAACGTCACTATCACACACAGCGAACGGGCCGCTGTCCTTCACCGCTATTAGGTAACAGTAAAGGGGAACCAGATGTGTCAGCGTGATTTTAGGAGACTAACATGTGAAGCTGAGAAGTAAAAGGCAAACTTCCCTTATTTGATAGAAAGCAAACAAAGAAAAATCAAACAGAAACAACTCAGGCTTGTTAGTGGAACTGAAAACAATGAAAGATTTTATCTTCATTAATATTAAAAGGGAAGATAGACAAAAAAGCATGCACTATTTTGATGTATATCTTTGCTTTACTGATGATGATGTGTTTAACAGTTTTCTCTTGGCTTATGTCATGATTTCACCTAAACTCTTCATTAGTCTAAGGACTTCAGGCTAGTTTAAATCTACAGTATATCAGGCATGGGCATCAAGGGCAGGGAGAGTCTATCCAACGAGAAAAATCAATTATTTAAGGGATGGAAAGCATTAATTAACATCACTTGAAATATTATAGCCTGCTTAATGCTGCATTCTAGCAGCCTTTTGCTAACACTAATGACAACTATATGGTCAAATGTATGAAATATATTTCCTCTGACAATCTTATGGTGTATATGCATCTCAATAATATGTTGGTATACTTTTCACTGCTTTTGGCAGCACCTTCTGCTCTTATATCAACACAAAACAATCTCCAAAATCTTTATCAAACCCTTGAGATCATATACTACTAAAAGTCATCAGGATAAAAGGCAAGAGCAGCAGCTAAAAATACTCCTTCCTGTTGTGTATATCCGGCATAAACCCAGAGCAGATATTCTCAAACGGGGCCTAATGAATGTTAACCTTGCATCACCCCTTCTTTCCTCTCTCTGGGGGATCGATCTGTTATGCAACAACAAAGGCAGACATTATGAGGTAGTAACGTGACTTCGTAGCACAAGGCAGGAGGAGATGTTGCAGGATTTCAGCAAACCTGCTTTAAGAAGAATCTAGTCTCTGCATTTTAAGCAGAATCTATGGCCATTCAGGAGGTAACCATAACACATTGGACACAAGTGTAAACACCGCTGATGCCTTATGACTCAGTGACACGGCAGCCGAACAGCAAAGGGCTGAGTAACAGTGGGTTATATAAGCAGATAGGACTGTGTGCTTTAAGAGAATCCCCTGGTTGATGCAAAAGTTGTCATTGAGATTTATGAGCGCAGACAGATGTATACAGTGAAATAATTTAAGAAGAGGAATATTGGTTTATTAGGAAAAAAAAGAATGCAGAGCCCTTCATAAATTATGGGTCTGAGCCGATGCTGGAAGAGCAGAAATATTTCTACCTACGACGATCTGCTTTGCATCAGGTTCACTTACTTGGTCATAAATGTAAATCCTGTCTTTTCATAAACCAAGCCTACTAAAAGAAAAAGCCCCAAAATACAGCCTAATGTTTAAAATCTCTGATACACACCGGCAGCATGCCCAGTGACACTGATGACGGTACATGCTACCTACACCACAGCAACAGATGGCCAAAAAAGTAACACAGTTTCCCTGGAAACGCAACACAATAGGGAGGAAACTCACTCTTTGGTCATCTGAGAGCAGGACTTGAGCAGGAAGCGGTTAAGGGCCGTGTCCTGGTAGGTGAGGTCCGGTGGTGCAGTGGGACTCTTAAGATTCAAGCAGCGGACGATGATGTAGAGAACCGTGGCGACGGCCGCTAGCTTCATGCCGTCAAACATGGCCGGCATCTCAGGGGAGATGGTGTGCAGGTTCGACTCGTACTGGGTACTCATAATTAGGCTGTAAAGTACATAAAGTATGTTGTTTTTTGTCGCCAAGCAAAAAATCCAGAATGAAAATCATTTACACACTGCAAGAACTATCTAGAAATAAGTAAAAAAATTTTAAATCAAGTCTATTTACTCATAATTTGAGTAGATAAATACGATGATTGCTAATAGAATGAGTCTTTTTACTATCAAAATAAGATAATTAGATACTTTTTTAATTTTTAAATTATTTTTCTTAGTTTAAATGTAAATTGTCTTGTTCCATTGGCAAAGAGCCTTGCTTTCCTCCTCAATTCAAGATAAAAATGCACTTATTGTAAGGAAGAATTACTTATTTAGATTTTCTTTTTTGCAGTGCATAGTCAGGAAAGGTTTTCCTAGGGTGTGATATTGCTAGTTAATCAATTAAAGATAAGATTGTGAAAAGAAACGGATTAAATTGTGTTAATGATCTTGACTGACCTTGATATAAACTCTCGTGCCCTTCAGGGAAAAAAAATCTACAAGAAAAAACAGAGAATATAAGTATGATAGTTTTAATATGTTAATCAACAACCATTCAATTAATATTGCAACAAAGCAAGCATTTATTTAAAAAAAGAGAGGATCTGGCTCTACTTAACTTAAAAGCACAAAGAGGGAAAACTCTTTAACATCAATATTCTATGTGTTTTACCTTAAATGATCAAACAATAAAAAATGTCATCCAAGGTAGTTACACAAAAAAGAACAAAAAAACCAGAGGAAGTGCAAAGTCTGTGGAAAGGCCCACAGAAGGAAGTTACGATTAATTAGAAGTGATCAGGAACTTAAAATTTCAACAGAAAGATTATACATGCTGTCGCTATGAGACAAGCTGTAAGTAAACTAATAAGTGGGTGATAAAATCAAACGATAAGGAAAACCCTGTGTTTAAAGTTGTGTTCGAACTTGCCTGCTATGAAATTTGTCTCAGAGCTGAAACAAATTTGAAGAAGCGTCGTCTCTTCAGCTCACAGGGATGCGGTGAAACCTAAGAGCAAAATAAAGTTTTATTAAACAGAGACTGCAGTGCAACAATAATGGAAATAACCCCCTTTTGCATAAAATTACTAAAATAATCTATCATGAACCATGGCTTATGATTGAGATCATTGCACTCTGAATTAACGAGGTTTTGTTTTTATCCAAAAGGGATAACTTGTTTCTTTCCTAAAAAATAAAAGAAATTAGTTTAACACACATAAAATTTTTTTTAAAAAAAACCACACAAGGTGATATAATATTGAATCTTCTTGCCACAAAGCTTCTGTATGTATTAAGCCAGAAACTTTTTTTTCAGAATGTTATTTCTGTTTGATAATTTCATGCTAAATTAGTGTATTTTTGTATATTTGGGAAAAGCACCGTCATATTAAGCCAATTACAGAATCTCGTGTGACCTCTTAACAGTTAATGGGTTTAAGCAAGCATTACTTATGAGGAGAACACAGATGTAGACAGTAGTGGTACCAGAATTAACCACTAGCAAACAAATTTAGCTCATTGAATAACACTGGCATACGTCACTGAAAACCCCCCGGTTTAAATTTATTTCCAAATTTTCAATGCGATAATTCAGTAATGTGTATGAATAATTCCCCCGGGACTGTCTCTGATAATCAATCAGCAGATAAACCAGAATAAAAAGTTTGTTTTTTAACATTTATTAAAAAGGGATTCTAAATTAAGAGTTTCCCCTAGACAGATGTAGTTATTGGGTTTATATTCTGTCCATTATTTCTTCATTTTCTGTTAGAATCAAACTCTCTAAGACCTTCCAGCATATTTATTTTCCTTTAATGTTACAGTAATCAACACCATAAGAACAAAGGTCAGACCTCTGGAACCACCACAAACCAGTGGTGGCCAGGAGAGGCTGGATCAGAGCATATCTTCTGATGAGCTTTATGTTATAGTGTATTAATTATACACTGATATTAAAGGAATCTATATTTTTATATCTCATTTGTTAACACTGATTGAATTCCCTATTCTTACACATAACAAGTAACACAACAATTATATTTATAAATCACACATTTAAGAATTGCATAGAAGTAAACAAAATCTAAATTAAAGAAGCATTTAGTTTGGTGAAAAGGGGGAGAGTAGAAATAAAAAAAAAAAAGTAAAACAAGTAGTTTGGGTTAGTAGTAGGGAAGCTAATCTTTGGTTAGCTCTTCCCCATGTCACGACTCTCCAAGGGGGCTCACCCAGCAGTTTCCCGTTAATCGCCATGACACACCCACAGAGAGATATGCTAACAAAACAGCAAAACTATTTTATGTTAAATAAAGAATAAAACGAGTCTAAGTGCATCTGCACTCGATATCCTCGGGGGTTAAAAATTAGAAACAAAACCGTTAGCTTTCCACCCACACCAAGTATTTTTTTTTTTTTTCAGTAGCAACTTCAAGCTAGGCTATATTTTCGCAAACGTTATTAATTCACAAAGTAATTCGCGCAACGAATCTCGGCTATAAATATTGATCATTTTAATTATATATTAAGCCCCTACAGCATCATTTAACAGAACGCATCCTCGGTTTTACTTACCTCAGCCAGTCGATTGAGGCAACTCCTCTCTGCTTAGAGTGGGACAGGCTCCTAATCCACCACTGGCCTTTTTATGTGCTTATGGTGTCTTTGAAGCATAGCAGTCTGATGTGAATCATGCCCTCTGGTGAAAGAAAAAAAAAAAAAGGTCATAAAAATACAGGTCTAGACGCAGAACCTGAAGTACTAAACGCCTCAGCTCCGACAGCCCACTTCCTAGAACAATCTGCTGCTTTGCATATCTGCGTTTTCATTGGTTCACCGGTACGGATGACGTAACATGGAGGATGTTACTGCTTTTAAGAGATGAATTTTATACGCAGATGTTACTTTTGTCAATCTTGTTTGAGCTTAACTAGTATTTTGTTTAGCAAGACATGTTGCTGCAAACAGCAAAGTAGATAAACTCCTTTTTAAGGGTTTGTTTCCTTCTGTTTTTGTCAAACGGTCAACACATGTAGCACGTGCGGTGAACGTGAGCTCTGAGGCTGTTACATAAGTTTTCACCCTAGTGTAATTTGCATGAAATAGCGTTAACAATCAGCTCCCGTCATTGATGTAACATTAAAACCGACTACAAAATGTATTTTAGGGTTCTAGTATCAAACTGTTGGATAATGTAAAGTGTTTCTGTATATTTATTTTATTTTTATTTAACAACGTAGGGTGGTATCTGATACTAGATTATATATTTACATTTTATAAAGCTATTTTGGATTATGTTTGTTTTGGGAAAAGGTCCGGCAGGGATAATCTTTATAAAAGAACAAACATACAAAAAAACGTAAAACCGTAGGGGCCAGCTGGGGCCAGTTTCCAATGGAATAAGATTACTTGTTTTTAAAATAATAAAAACTATTTAACTATCTAATTTTATGGTATCTGATACAAGATTATATATTTAAATTTTATAATAACTATCTAGGATTATGTTTGTTTTGGAAAAAAAAGTTTGGCAGGGATAATCTTCATATATATATATATATATATATATATATATATATATATATATATATATATATATATATATATATATATATATATATA